AAACCTGAACGTGCTTATATGGTATGTTTACAATAATGTTTACTATTTAAGTACCCCATAATTTCGTTTGTATGAGATCATTAATCGACAAACGTTGATTCTAAGCATCTTGACCACACAGTTAAGAAAATGTCAAGAACACAATTTAAACGGAAGAACGGAAACCACTCATTGATAAGTAAAGTAGCTGGAAAATGATATAGGGAGAATAGGGTGCTGGTGGTGGGCTTTGGTTGGAAAACCTGAAATTACGTCAGTAATGTTAATCTTATGCTTATCCTCAATCGGATTGCCTTTCCTATCTATCCTGAGCAATGTATATTTTGTTTAATTAATATAACTACATTTTCGGAATAAATTCTGGTTATGGCACACCTTTTTCTGGTAAATGTTGATTGCCCACATAGAATTTCCACGTGGTTTAATAGCTCTGTAATCCCTAACTAATACTATTTTAAAATTTAAACAAAATGGAATTCGAGGTCATATTAGGACACGCGAATAAAGCCTTCTGGCGACGACAGCTACTATAACGTACGTAAGGCATTAATTAAAACAAATTATGCAAACAAAAGCACTAACCTGGATATGAAGTGAAGAAGGAAGTAACCGATAATTTCATCGACTTGATAACTTATCACATGTGAAATAAGTAACTATTTAATCATACGATATAACACTGATAACGTTCAAATACTGGAATGGAATTTACCACAAAAAGGTCAATACAGAAGTCGTAAACGGTCCAAACAATGCCACAAAACTGTTGAAGTACTCAAGAATTAAAAAATTCTCCAGACAAAACGAAAAAGAACTGCTTCTGCATTATTAATACACATCATTGCAGAAGCCAACTCTTTCATAATGCAGAAGTTCAGTTCTCTCTAGTTCCGTGCGGTTATGCATAGATGGCCCATTTGTACAATATATATGAACTAAGCAACTAAGAAAGGAAGTACATATCGTTGATGAACGTAACACATTACACTGACGAAGGGGTAAATACTTCTAGAATAATATGTAGAAATACATATTTAAAGCTCCATTGAAGGATATGATAAAGATGCTTGTCTTGTACAGAGAAAACGAATATTGCCGCATAAAAATGTCCGCGTTATAAGCATGCAATTTGAGTCTGGTACAGAAAAAACGAATATTGCCACTTAAAAAATGTCTGCGTTATGAGCATGCAGTTTGAGTCTTGTACAGAGAAAACGAATATTGCCACATAAAAAATGTCTGCGTTATGAGCATGCAGTTTGAGTCTTGTACAGAGAAAACGAATATTGCCGCATAAAAAAATGCGTTATGAGCAGGCAGTTTGAGTCTTTAACAGAAAATAAATATTGCCGCATAAAAATGTCTGCGTTATGAGAATGCAGTTTGAGGCTTGTACAGAGAAAACGAATATTGCCACATAAAAAATGTCTGCGTTATGAGCATGCAGTTTGAGTCTGGTACAGAGAAAACGAATATTTCCACATAAAAAATGTCTGCGTTATGAGCATGCAGTTTGAGTCTTGTATAGAGAAAACGAATAAAGCCGCATAAAAAAAGTCTGCGTTATGAGCATGCAGTTTGAGTCTTGTACAGCGAAAACGAATATGCCGCATAAAAAATGTCTGCGTTATGAGCATGCAGTTTGAGTCTTCTAAAGAGAAAACGAATATTGCCACATAAAAAATGTCTGCGTTATTAGCATGCAGTTTGAGTCTTGTACAGAGAAAACGAATATTGCCACATAAAAAATGTCTGCGTTATGAGCATGCAGTTTGAGTCTGGTACAGAGAAAACGAATATTGCCACATAAAAAATGTCTGCGTTATGAGCATGCAGTTTGAGTCTTGTACAGAGAAAGCGAATATTGCCGCATAAAAAAATGACTACGTTATGAGCATGCAGTTTGAGTCTTGTACAGCGAAAACGAATATGCCGCATAAAAAAATGTCTGCGTTATGAGCATGCAGTTTGAGTATTCTAAAGAGAAAACGAATATTGCCACATAAAAAATGTCTGCGTTATTAGCATGCAGTTTGAGTCTTGTACAGAGCAAAACGAATATTGCCACATAAAAAATGTCTGCGTTATGAGCATGCAGTTTGAGTCTGGTACAGAGAAAACGAATATTGCCGCATAAAAAAAAAATGTCTGCGTTATGAGCATGCAGTTTGAGTCTTGTACAGAGAAAACGAATATTGCCGCATAAAAAATGTCTGCGTTATGAGCATGCAGTTTGAGTCTGGTACAGAGAAAACGAATATTGTCGCATAAAAAATGTCTGCGTTATGAGCATGCAGTTTGAGTCTTGTACAGAGAAAACGAATATTGCCACATAAAAAATGTTTGCGTTATGAGCATGCAGTTTGAGTCTTGTACAGAGAAAACAAATATTGCCACATAAAAAATGTCTGCGTTATGAGCAGGCAGTTTGAGTCTTGTACAGAGAAAACAAATATTGCCACATAAAAAAATGTCTGCGTTATGAGCATGCAATTTGAGTAGGAAATGTTGGTTAAGATCAGATAAGGAACAGATAAAATCGTTAAGGAACAGTTTAGTTTATACGTGTTTTTAACCGTTGTGACTTGCACTTTATAGAAAATGATGTTTGGACATTTTAATATGTAAATTATTATTATTAATTTTATTATTATTATTATTATTATTATTATTATTATTATTATTATTATTATTATTATTAATAATAATAATAATAATAATAATAATAATAATAATAATAATAATAATAATAATAATAAAAATCATATACAGCACTGAGTGTTTTCAGGTGTTCACAACACATGGCTTTTTAAGGCCACATATAATTCAGGAACTACTTACTCATCGCCCAAACCTGAACGTGCGTATATGTTATGTTTACAATAATATTTACTATTTACGGATCTCATATATTCGTATGTATTAACGTTCTATTAACGTTGTTTCTATGCATCTTGACCACACCGTTAAGAAAATGTAAAGAACACAATTTAAATGGAAGAACGGAAACCACTCATTGATAAGTAAAGTAGCTGGAAAATGATATAGGGAGAATAGGGTGCTGGTGGTGGGCTTTGGTGGGAAAACCTGAAATTACGCCAGTAATGTTAATCTTATGCTTATCCTCAATCGGATTGCCTTTCCTATCTATCCTGAGCAATGTATATTTTGTTTAATTAATATAACTACATTTTCGGAATAAATTCTGGTTATGGCACACCTTTTTCTGGTAAATGTTGATTGCCCACATAGAATTTCCACGTGGTTTAATAGCTATGTAATCCCTAACTACTACTATTTTTAAATTTAAACAAAATGGAATTCGAGCTAATATTATGACACACGAATAAAGCCCTCTGGCGACGACAGCTAATATAAAGTACGTAAGGCATTAATTAAAACAAATTTGACAAACAAAAGCACTAACCTGGATATGAAGTGAAGAAGGAAGTAACCGATAATTTCATCGACATTATTACTTATGACATGTGAAATAAGTAACTATTTAAACATACGATATAACACTGATAACGTTAAAATACTAGAATGGAATTTGCCACAAAAAGGTCAATACAGAAGTCGTAAACGGTCCAAACAATGCCACAAAACTGTTGAAGTACTCAAAAATTTAAACATTCCCCAGACAAACGAAAAAGAACTGCTTTTACATTATTAATACACATCATTGCAGAAGCCAACTCTTTCATTATGCAGAAGTTCAGTTCACCCTAGTTCCTGGCGGTAGGGCATAGATGGCCCATTTGTACAAACGCATGAAAGTTCAAAATACAGTGAGAATAAACCTTTAATAGGACAGAGAAATTTAATTTAATATATATATATATATATATATATATATATATATATATATATATATATATATATATATATATATATATATATATATATATATATATATATATATATATATATATATATATATATGAACTAATAAGCAACTAAGAAAGGAAGTACATTTCGTTGATGAATGCAACACTTTTCACTGATGAAGGTGTAATTACTTTTGGAATATGCTCTGGAAAAACACGTTTCAAGCTCATTTGTAGGATGTGTGTGATGAAGACGTTTGGTTTGTGCCGAGTAAACGACTTTTGCCGTATAACAAGACTACATTATGTGCGGCAGTTCGTGTAGAAAATGATAGAAGTACTATGATGATCATTTGTGTTTTCAACCTTTGTGACTGACACATCGAAAAGGGATGGACTCAACGAAATCGTAGGACAAACGACAGTGATCAAATTAATGACATCGTATCATGTGTCCGCACGAAATTTTGAAGGATGCATTGGTGGGGCAAAACCACACGGACGTGTGTGTTCGTTTTTACGCGCGTGTGTGTGTGTGTGTGTGTGTGTGTGTGTGTGTGTGTGTGTCGGGATGGCGCAGTGACTAAAAAGTTTTCCAAATAAGCTGATCGTCACAGGAAAAAAAAAATAAGTTGCTAAACTGAAACAAATACCTAACAAAAAAGCGAAAATAACTTTTTGTTGCTGACGGTACAGTTAACGCCTTATTGATGTCATATAAATGGAAACTAAGTTCCTTTTCCAAGGGCACAACATGGCGGCCGTTCCGGTCTGGCTTGCACAGCAATGGGCAGCCGCCCCAATGTGGCTCGCACAGCAATTGCACCTTTAATACTTGGAATACGAGTTCGACGTTTTACCAACTGAGGTACTGCCGTTCACGCAGAAAGAACACATGAACTATTTAAAGGTGTTAATGACTGGGGACTTTTAGAATAAAAGAAATTGATGACATATCTTAAAATGGATAGATGCAACAGTGGTTAACCAAAACTAAGTAAAGATCTCGTGGATTGATTAACAGCATATTTATTATTATTATTATTTTTATTATTATTATTATTATTATTATTATTATTATTATTATTATTATTATCTATCTATCTATCTATCTATCTATCTATCTATCTATCTATCTATCTATCTATCTATCTATCTATCTATCTATCCGCTGGCCTAGTGGTTAGAGCGTCCACTTCAGATGCGGAAGGTAGTGTGTTCAATCCCCGGTCGAGTCATGCCGAAGACTTACAAAAATGGTACTAACAGCCGCCTCGCTCGACGCTCAGAATTAAGAGATTAATGTTAGGACTGGTCAACCTGGTGTCAGGATAATGTGAGTGGGACATCATGCTACATGTATGCGGCATGATGTACCCAGTGCTAGGCATCACAAAAAACTAACACACTGCAGACATCGTAGCGATATGACTGTAATGTTTTTAAAGCTATGTTAAAAATCATAAATCACACACACACACACACACACACTATATATATATATATATATATATATATATATATATATATATATATATATATATATATATATATATAGTCTCGGCTTCGTATACATTTACTTACGTTTGTATGAATGTTTCTATTTTTGCTAAATATTACAGTATGCTTGTATTTTCGGATAGAGAATGTGGTCACATTTTTTCCTCAAAACAATAATCGTTTGTTAGAACTTTAATTTCACAGTTTTATCAGCCACAAAATCCAAGAAAATTAGCATTAGACGCGATACACCGACATAACAGTACTGAAGAAACAATGTGTCTAAGTCATTAGTGCTCCTGATTCATATAAATAACGAATGCATATGCTACAACATTGCAACAATGAACGTGTTTCTGTTGATTTCTTGCGGATATATTCAAAAATGAAACACTAAATGAGATGATTGATTACTTGTTAAGGCATATGCAAACATATTTATAGTCCTTCGGTCTTATGCATAAAAATAAGTCTGACACTACATGTCCTTTTGTTATTTAACACGTTTTCAAAAGATTTATTGTCTGTGGTTTGCTGCATGTAATTTATATAGTTTCATCTTTTATTTCCTGTAATCAGATAATGCTAAAAGTATAACAAACCTTTATAATTCCAGACGAACGTACTTCTCAACAAATAAATCATTTATTGGACCCGACATAGCATGAAAATTAAACATCTTATTTAAAGAAAAATATAAGTAGATTAATGGAAACAGGCCTCAGTACGATAGCCGCAATTGTTTGGTCGATTGCAGCGCCAAGTGAACTTAGAAACGGAACTATCAATTTATTTGAAGGATTTCAGGAAATACTGATTGGATGTCAGCAAATGCGTTTGTCTTATATAAGGAAGTTCCCAAAAAGTGCATTAGCGTTTTCTTGCGTTCTTATACAGGATACAACATGGCAAAGAATAACACGATAGTAAGTGAATTTCTTCAAATTTTATCCTTTACTACCTACCTTTTTACCATTTTTTTTGTTGTTGTGTTCTACATAAGCTTTTGTGTAGTTAGATCAGCCAATGCGATGCATTACCTTTTGCTTTGGTTCTAAACTGACCTTGAAATGAATTCAAAATATACTATTAGCTTCGTATTGTTTGTACTTCCAAAACCTCACTTTCAAGTAAACAAATAAAAAGCGAAGTTTAAGGACTTACTGTTAACTGCGAAATGTTCACTATCAAATTTTGGCTATGGTCATATACTTTATTTCATCTTCTTCGAAAGAGCAATCTTGTTTAGAGCTTTGCGGAACAATGGTCCCATGTAATCTTTAAAAAGTTTACATTGCAGAACTTGGACTAAGTTCATGTCCAAGGATATTTCCTGTCAAACATGGACAAAATTAATTAATCGCTATTTTGCAATTTTTTTTTACTTCGAGTAACACTGGTAATATCATGTCAGGATTGTTAATATTTTAATATAGAATTTAGTCCGAAATAGCTAAGAATTAATTTAAAAAGTGTTTGTACAAATGGCAGCCATATTTGAGGTCGTATTTAAATCATTGCATGAATTAGAAAGACTATGATGCTAAGTGGCTTAATGACGATACTTCAGGAAATTATTCTATTTAATTTGATCAAAATTGGTTGAGCAGTACAGAAGAAGAAACAATTTTGTTTTATTTTTACAGAGAGAGAGAGAGAGAGAGAGAGAGAGAGAGAGAGAGAGAGAGAGAGAGAGAGAGAGAGAGAGAGAGAGAGAGAGAGAGAGAGAGAGAGAGAGAGAGAGACCCGGCGCGTGGTGGTCTTCTTGTGTGTGCGATGAATGTTTGGCGCCTTTCCAAAAATATATTATCGAAAATTTTCATAGATGTCAGAAGGGTTGGCACATATTCGGCGGTGGAGCCTGTGTGCATCGCGCATTTTGCACACGCAACTAGCCAGGTCTGTACATACATACATACATACATACATACATACATACATACATACATACATACATACATACATACATACATACATACATACATACATACATACATACATACATACATACATACATACATACATACATACATATTGTAGAATATGTCCTTATGAAATTATCTTTTAAAAACCAGATTCAATTAAAATAAATGAATCTGAATCTGAATCTGAAGAAGAAGAAGAAGAAGAAGAAGAAGAAGAAGAAGAAGAAGAAGAAGAAGAAGAAGAAGAAGAAGAAGAAGATGATGATGATGATGATGATGATGATGATGATGATGATGATAAAGAATAAGATGAAGATGAAGAAATTCAAGATCATGATGAAACTAAGTTTTTGACCTGTCTGCTATAAAAGTTATACGTTGTAAGGACAGTTACCCTAGACATAGTGTCATCAAAACTGACTTTGTTGCACTGAACAGGATGCTGAAAAGAGATTTTCCATTTAGCTACAAGCCACTCCATTGCTAGATAAGTGATTAAAATACAATTTTTACAGAGCGTGTGAACAATCCTATCTATAGTAAAAGTCGTACATGTCATGTATGCATTGAGCACCGACTGTTTCAGTAATGGGTGTAATGTGTTTATAATTTGATTCTACACACCTTTAAATGGTAAGTATTCACATCATTTGGATTCTTATACATTCACATTCCTTTGGAAGGTCATTATTTAAACAACCCAAGAAATGCATACGGCAAAATTCACGTTAAAGAATGTCGATATTTTTGGAGGAAATGAACCTAAAGGTGTGATCCAGTGCAATCTTGGATTGAATGTCACGCGCTGTGATGTCACAATAAAGTTACGTATATTGATAGACAAATTCGCAATACCCTATAGTGTGACGCTTCCACTCGACGTGCTCTTTTCTTTACCCATGTTAAGCACATTGCCACAATAATGAAAGACCATTGCAGTCGATACTTTTCGTTTGGAAGTTTCTTTATGGCAGTTAAGGTACAGTGCATTAAATATTTGGGATTGAATAGACTTTGGTTAAAGAAAATAAGTGCTACATTTTAAAAGAGCAATTTATATTTAATTTAAAAAGAAAAACGAGCATACATGATCCGTGTGACATTTACTATTGTTTGGTACAAAATAATCAAAATTACGTCTTCCATGTAATTGTTACATTAGTATTATCGCTAATAGAAGAGCCACCTATATCGAGTATGGCTTAAGAAACGTTGAAAATCATATTGGCACTTCGGTTTTACAGATTAAGATGGGACATTATGTGCCAATAGGAGCAATATTATTCAAGCGCAGCTATCCCAGACAATTCGGCAATATCATAAACAATTTCTCGTTCATATTTAAGGAAATTCTCTCTGCTGCTCCGAATAAACAATCGACAAAATACGTTTTTCATCTGTTCACCATGGAAGTCACACCACCGCTGGGAAGCCAGCCTAGGAAACATTTTTGGTAGATCACGTCATCTAAAACGGTCATAGATAGATTGACGGCAAGTGACTCAGAAGGTTTGGTCAAGAAACCGTTAATATGATTGCAGCAGATGCCATATTATATTCTATTAGGAACGTAATTTTTCTAAACTTCAGCTGTGATTGTTCGAGGACTACGTTCACTTGTCAGTGAAGCTTTGACAGACTGCAACTAACTATTACCGACTGGTCACTATTATTGCTGTTCATGTGTGTGTGTGAATGAAATGTATTTACAGCAAGGCCGAAACCATGCCGCATGGATTCTTGGCGCAACTCTTGTCACGGCAACAACAATACAGCGCATAGTGTGCCATATTACCTTTTAAGTACACAAAGCTTAGGGCACCAGCCCAACAGTAGCATAAAAAAGTCAAATTAATTGTTGATGATAAAATTGAATGAATTATGTATGACCATTTTCGATCTGCATGTACGAGTATTTTGATTTGGAATGATGGCAACACTGATGTTTTCCCACCTATTAGTTTTTAATATTATCTTGTTTTCAGTTTCACATTTGTTAGGAAGCGTTGAGGGGGCATCATAATATTTGCAGTCCTTAGGGCCCTGGAAGGCCTTAATCAGGCAATGGGCACTTAGATACCGAAATAAGCATAACTTCAATTTTTGTCATTCAGCTTTGGTGAGCATTTCAATGTGTATATGTAATTTATGTTAGCTTCAAAGATTTGGAATGTTATATAAATTGCAAGGTTAGTATGCAAGATTTGTCTCTCTTCTCACGACACAATAATTGTTTGATTGCTATTGGCATTATATTGCCGTCATCATATACATGTATTAATTCCGACGAGGCAAGCATTTCAAAAATTAAATTCAGTATTCCAGCCTTTCTTTAGCTCGACATTTATATTTCTACAGGTACTGGAACATTATTGTATATTTATCTCTCTTCGCCAAACAGTAAACTTCACTGTATGCTTATTCGTCTTCTTTTGCCTTTCTTTTTCTCCATCCATCTGTGTTTGTTTCAGATGGTCGTACTTTATGTTACCCTTCTGTTTCTTACGTTACCACGTCATATTGTGATGCAACTTGAGCCAACTGGACTTCCGCCGGAATTGCAGTTTTGCTTCGAAGATGCTAAAAATAGGACGGATCTAACTAGGACGCCGGGTAGGTATCGCAGTATATTCAATGAGGCAACTAGAAAATATGCCGAAGACAGGTTTTAAAGTTTCAAAAAGCAAGTATGTGCCTTCAACAAACGATAACATGCATGTTCTGTATTACAGTGTTTTGACACGTGCTACTAAATAATTACAACAAACTTAAAATGTACTTTTGTTTTAGCCAAGTTTAAAGTGCATAATATT